TTGGTAAGAAATGAAATTTTTACAAAATATGCAATTTCAAGTTAGAAAATACTTATTTCTTTATTCATTTCTATTAGTAAAAGTACTTATGAATCTAATTTCATACTGAAATTCTAAATGCAATAACAGTAATATTGTTATTTTTTTTAAAGTAATAACAGTAATGCATATTACATGAATTCCATATCGAACTGCTTAGCATGAATGTAAAAGTAATAACAGCGATATTTTTATTTATTAGTAATAAAATTAATATTTTTATTTGTTAGTAATAACAGTAATATTTTTATGTATTTTATTTTTCCATATTTTTATTTCTACAACTTTGAATGCTTTTTTGTCGTAGTGAGCGGATTACTGTTTACGAATAAGTTCTATTTTTTCTTGTCATTAACGAAGAAATATATCTGAATGACTGTTTATATAAGTTAACAAATCATATTTATGACGGAATATTATTATAAACAAAGTTTGATAGAGATATTCTTACATCGTCTATTTCTTTCCTTGATATATAATTATTCACTTTTTCGTGTTGTAAAAATTGGACAAACAATTTTTTTCACGTGAAATATTTTTTTCTCAAAAATCACTTTACTATTTTAATGCTAAAATTCTGAGAGTATAAATTTCGGTTGAAAACATTTAATTTTTTAAACAAAAATTCAATTTGTATATACCGCAAAGTAAAAAAAAGATAAATCCACTTCGTATTTCGACCACATTTATGCGAACTTAATCCCTTTGCACAGAATAATATCCAGCACTATCACTCAGATAACGAATTTAATCAAAGCCTTAACCACAGTTGTAGCATAATCCAATTTTTTCTTACTTTTCTCAGTTCAGAAAAGTGCGGTAATACTCCAGTAATATTAGCTCATAGATTTCGAGTTTGAAAGTAAAAAAATTTGGCACAAAGTTCAATGTGAACAAATTTTCAAGAGATTAACATCAAGCTATGAAAAAAGTGTGATGTGAAATTAGAAAATGAAGTTCAAATTCTTGATACTGCTTGGCTCCATCGAGTTGGCAAGTGGTTGACTTCAAAAACGCTGTTGTCGAGAAGACTAAGATGGACGATAAAATGAAATAACCTTACAATTTGCTAAAAAAACCTTGAAAAAACCTTACAATTTGCACATTATGCACAGTAAGGGATTGAAGTTTACATTAGAATTAAGTAAAAAACACAGGAAAAATTAAATTTATATTTTTGAACCACAATTATTTTAAAAATATAGGGAATATGAAGAACAACAATTGCAACTTTTAAGATGCAAGATGAATTGAAAATACAAAGAAGAAATAAACAAAGAATTCAGCAGTCAATGACTTGTTTCCTTTATTATAGTAAGAATCCATCCATATTACTCAAAGAAATTGCAAATAAAAACTAACCAAAGCACGTTGGTTGAAGAAAGCGAAGCTAACATGCAACGGGAATTAAAGCACGTACGTGACGCAAGAGAAGCGAGGCTGGGGTGAGCAGAGCATTTAATCATGAACGTAGCGACCACTCACCAAGATGAGTTGAGTGAAAAGAAATTGGTAAGGGGAGAAGGAAAGAGCAAGTTTACCATCTCTACCACCTTTTCACTCAAACCATTGCCATGCACGCAACTTTAAAGACGAGTGACGAGCTAAGACGTAGGATTCATTGCGTTGAGTAGAGACATGAGTTTATGCTTCATCAACTTCATAATGTACATGCAAATACGTTGTCCATTTCTACCAGGTGATTCGAGCGTAAGAGAAGGCTCACAACACGTATAGCAATTATTGTATCCTTTCTAAAGACCAGGTACAACTTTACAGAAAATCCAAACGCTTAAAACATATTAGCAGCCTAGAGGGGCTCTTGTATAGCTAGATAGAAAATAAAATCTATCATGCAAAGCCGTATAAGGCGCGGACTATTAAACTCTGATCAATGGCTGATTCATCAATGTAGCAACGGTACGGAAAGATTACCTCGCACTATGAAGCACCATACTGTTACCTACAAGACAGAAATATGCTGGGAACCGAGCAAGAAATATGCCTTGATTGTACAGAACGCGTCAAAGTAAGATAAATTTTATAGTTACAATACTAGCATTAAGGCCCATTTCATTCGTTTTTGAATTAACCATTATTTTTAAGTATATATATTCAGTCACAAATGACCTTTTTGTCATTGTTAGCCATCTTCCATTTTGCGGTTCGCCAACTGATAATTTAGTAAATAAAATAATTTCGAACCGCTAATACTTATTAATCCTTTAATGGTTGTCGATCTCCGAAATAGAATTGACTGTTCCCTGCCGATTCAATCCGAGATAAGTTCTGCTTTCAAATCATTTAAAAACAAAAATTTATTAGAAATTGCACAAGCGGGAATCCTAAGACTTTCCCACCTGTTATTATTACATACTTATAAATTTCTTTACCCATCACATAAATTGCTGTTTTGTACTAAATTTGTTATTTGCAAAAAATGGTAAGCAGAAATTTAAAGACAAGCATGCATATTAGTGCGCTGCATTCATTGTTAACCTTGGTTTACTGCATTCACTGAATCCATTCAAAGTCCGACCTCCTGAAAATAGGTCTCGACCGAGGAAAAACCAGTTGGTTTCACAAAGTGAGATTTAGTGTGCACTAAAAGAGTTCAGTTTATTTACACGAATAATTTATGAGCTTTCTTTCTAAGCAATGCTGGGATTATTCCGATTTTAAGAATCACACAAAACGAGCAGTCCAAGCAGTCAAAGGGCAAAGAGAGGCAAGATGTGGCAATAGTGATATTTAGAAGTAACTTTACTAATATTTAAAAGTAAATTCTACTTATTACACGATCTAACTTTTATTTAAACCCATAATAACAAAGCACCTGTGAATCAGTTTGTGAACCTAATATCCCTAAATTGCACCTTACCAAAAAGATACATCAATCTAAACACTTACTATAAAATTGTTGTCCACCGCTCACCCGCTGGGTTTCTGTGCTGAAAAGCCTGGAACCACTCGTAAAAATGAAGTTAAGCAAAAAAAACTTCTCTCGAGACAGAATTACAATAAAAGGCAATAGAAGGCAAGACAAAGTGAATAACGAATGATACAAGAAAGATGAATATACAGTTAGTATTGACATAACACTTTAAAATGTAATGGTTTCACACTACAACACAAACAATACAAAAAGAGAAATAAATGCAAAAATTTTAGAATAAGTCCAAATTGCCTACATGGAAATAACACGTACTGTAAGTGAAGAAAAATATAAAACCATGAAAAAAAACCAAGTTTAAAAAATGCACCACAAAAAGCCATTTCTATCCATCGAAGTTGCTTCTTTTCAAATTTTTATTGAGAAAACCTCAAAAAGGCGACTCCAACAAGCTTCAGAATACCCTTCATTGATCCTTGGTGTAGAACAAAGGTGCCATTAGATAATAGTGTCAACGCTCTTCTATACCATTAATGTTCAATCTGAAATGATTACAAACCCGACATAAACTTGAATAAAAATACTATGCCAATTGTTTCCACATAAAAAATTCTCAGATCTTTTGTATAAGTAAATAAAAAGTTTTTCTCATGTAGAAATTTTGCGCCATTTCCTCCTCCCCAGCAATTGTAGTCTGCGCCTCCTGACCTTACTTTCATCCAAAACCGACTTGTGTGCCCTCGGGCACCATTCGTAAGCATATATTTCTACGGCTGCCTGCTTATGCGCAGCCATTGATGTGGATGGGAAGGCCAAGTAATGACCACAGATAGCACAAAAGCCTGAAACCAATAGTTATAACAAGCATGAATTGGAATCAGAAAGCGGATTTGAAAATGCTGCTGCAAAGAAACGACAGAAAATTAAATTCCAATAATACTCACCGTCTTGTCTGTGCATTCTCGTTGCATGAATGCGCCCAACCCTTCACCGTTTCGAATTGGCGCCCATAAAGACTACAAACTGAAAGATCAACACATTTATCTATTTGTGAATTTCACAAAAATTTAGATCACAATTATTTCTAATAATTCTTTCTTTTGCTTATGAAATACAACTATTTACTAACTATTTGAAACAACTCTTCCAACTGAGAGGAACTGATATTGAAATACAACTAAGGTATGACTGCCATCGATGAGCATTTGTAGAATCTTGCAACTTCCGCTTGAATTGGTGCGGAAGACCTTCCGAATTCGCAGCACGGAAAGCTTCTGATGCCATTACAACTCTCTTCCAACTGAGAGGAACTGATATTGCAACTGTTTTGTTTCTTCTATAATGTAGCACAAATAACTTACCAAAAATACAGCACAAATTATTTTTTCTTTTCAAAACTACAGTCCAAAACAAACCAACTTTTAACCATCATATTGAAATAAGAATCCTTACAGGACAAGCTCTCGAAACTCCTGCTGTGGCTCCTCGTTATCGATTTCGATCAGTACCTCAGAGGGCTCATTAGCAGGCTCGGATCGCTCCTCTTTCACCATGCAGTCGGCATTATCATCATCAGGAAGAGGGGCCCAAACTGCTTCTTCCTCGTTAAATTCCTGCTCCGCAGGTACCGATGCGTCCTCTACGTCTCCTTCTTCCTCGGCTCCTCATTTTCTGTGGTTTCTTCGTAAAGAGCCAGCCATTCGAGGAGAATTTCTTTTCTCTAAAGCACTTTATGAATTAACTGGTGGCAAGGTTTCACTTTGCTGAAATTTATTCATAATAGTAACAATGAGCATATTTCTGGTATTTGAACGCTTCTATAGTGAAGAAAGATAAATCAGAACTCACAAGTCAATTCAAAAATATACAGAAAGAGCATTAAGGATTATCTCAGGATCAAGGATCAAGCGTCACCTTGGCAGCATCAAAGATTACTTCAAAATACAAAAGAACAATTAATACAAAAAAAATTTATACAAAAATTTTACAAATAAGCCAAGTTTTTCATGAATGACGTATAGAAAAATATAAATACATATAAGTAAGCAAAAATACAAAAATTTTGCAAAAAGATTGACGCCAAAAAACATATTAAAGAAAAACCCTCAATCCTTGAATTTGGTTATTCTTACAGAAATCTCGTCCAAAGTGTTGAATCCTTGAACACTAAAATATTCCTTCGCCCATTATTGCTGAAATCCAGAGGTTTCAGTGTGCAAAGTTTCTTCAGACCATTTATGTTCAGTCTGAAGTGAATGTAAATTGTTGCAATGTAACATGAAATTGGAAAATTACTATATCAATTGTATTCATATGAGAAATTATCAAATATTTTGCATAAGTAATTAATAAAATCATCTTACGTGGTATGAAGAAATGCTGGGCCATTTTTTCCATTTCAGCTAGTTCTAGCCCGCGCCACTTGACCCTTCTTTCTTCTAAAATGGGCTTGCTTGCCTTCAGGCACCAATCGTAGAGATGCAAACCGATGGCTGCCAGCTTCTGTGCAGCCGTGAAGGTGGATTGGAAGGTCAAGAAATGCCCACATGCGATGCAGTACCCTGAAACCAATTGTGATGTCAGACATGAATCAAAAAGTGTTATTGCAAAGAAATGCCAAAAATTTTAATTTCAATACTTACCATCTTGCTAGCGCATCTCGACGCGTGAATACTATAACTCTATAACTCTTCAACATTTGCAATCAACGCCCGCAGATGCTACATATTAAAAAAAGCATTAAAGGTTACCTTCGTAGTCCCCCATATGTAGATCCGGAGAGCGTATTGTTTGAGTGGGTTGCTATCCAAATACTCCAGTACTGCGGAGATGTTTGGAATAACGTAATTAATGTGATCAAATTCGTAAATCATTCTCTGGAATCTGAAAATCTTGTTTGAGATTTCTGAATATCACTGGGAAAATCCACACTAAAATGCAACCATCTACACGATTGTGCTTCCAAAAAATATTCGTAGTACTCTTGACAAAGAATTCACTAACTAACGAAAAAGTATTTAAATTTTCATTTCAAACGGCCAAGTATACGTTATGTAAGATATAATTAAAGAAAAAACGTTAAGAAAAAATCAAAATAGAGCAAAGAAAGATACTGTTGGAATTTCTTAAACACGCAGGAAATATGATACTGAAAACAAATGATTTTTAATTTGCCCTAACAAAAAATTTGCTGAATATGCGTGGGTTTTTCTATGCCTGAAGATCGGAAAAAAAGAGTATCTGGTAGAGCAGAGGCACTTTCGACACTTTCGCACAGCTTCTCAGACTCATCTCCGTCATTTGATACGGCTGGGTGTTAATCCAACTTTCGTCTACTTCTGCGATTATCTCATTTGCTTGCGTTTGATATTTGTATTCATTTGTAGCATAATTATTGTTCTGTTTTTGCTAGCTAGTTTTCATTTTGCAATTGAGATATGCTTCACGCAAAATTGTTTTTAAGACAATCTTGAAGAACTTTTGGATCATTTTCCAGTTTTTGAAAGACGAATGAAACAAGATCTTTTCTTGTTAAGAATGTGATCTTGACGTAATTTCTAGAACGCTCTCTCTTTGGGCTTGAATTTCTAATCTGCCAGCATGACTTAATGAACACAAAATGTTATAGAATGTGCTACGAGTTATGTAATTGAGCATTTCGAACTTTCAGATCACTCGTGGTTTGCAGTTCGGAAAAAATCATCTGTATAGATCAAACAAATTCAAACTTCTGGGATTCAATCACTCCACAAATGCTCCTTCTTTATCAGATTTTTTAACAAAATTCAATAGATTCTATATAGTCAATAGAGTCAATTCAATACAGGGGAAATTCAATATAGTTGGAAACATCCATGATATCTGAAATCTTGATCGTATATATCAAACAAATATGATTTGTCACAAATTTATGTCAAAAATTATAATATACGATATTATACATACGTGAAATTGGAGCCAAAAATGCCGAATTGTTTGATTTACATTTTTCGTTTGATTTACGCCCCCATAGGCAAAGCATTAATCTAGTGATAATTCTCAGAATTATTTGCATATTAATCCTTGTCACGCAGTTTCCAATCGCTTTATAAGTTTCCGTTATGACACACAATCATCTTTTCCGCTCAAAAGTCGCCTGCCCGTTACCGATGCTACCACTACTTTTTGCTTGCTTCAGCGAGATTCAAAGTAGATTGAGATTGCTAAAATTCATCATTACATAAGTACAAAAACCTTTAGTTTGCACAGATTTCAATTTCGAACAATACTATGACGGACAGTGAGAAATGTGTGTCAATTCCAATAATTTTATAATATCAAACATTTGTCATAGCAGAAACCTTGCGTAATGATGACATTCCCTGATGTGATTTATAAAAAATAGAAAATCTTTTGCCAAAAGTTTGTTATCAGCAAATGAAGACCGCAAATTACAGAATTACGATCGGTGGTTTCATTCAACAATATAGACATGTCAGAAGCATCACTTTGTACTTTTATTCTATCGCTTCTTGTGCACTATTCATGCGTTGGACCAGCGAAGGTAAGTATTTGAAGACAAAACAGAAGAATATTTTAGCAAAGAACTGTAATTAGTTGTTGTTAAGTGAACTTTCAAAACTCTTCAGAAAGCAATAAGATCAATCAGAGTGTTAGAAAAAATAGCTGCTAAGGACGAAAGCATAATTGACTTACCAAAT